CAATCACTTGTATAAAGAACTAAAGATCTATGCCTGTAACTGATTACATGAACACCTATGGGTTCATCTCAGCAAGGGCTAACTACATCCTGATTGGTAGCTTTTCAATATATTTATCATCGCGCATTAAGATTAAATTAGGAATGAAGTAGAATTACGAATCATTAGACTTTATAAGAGGCTTTCCAAAAACATCCATAGTCTTCATGAACAAGCGAAAGATATAATAAGTAATCATAAATATGCAAATACTATAAATTCTAAACACTCATATAAAAAATATAATGAAGATGATCATATCTTAATTTGTATTCATCCTACGCATTTTCCCATCAAATATAGTAAGTTATATGCTTAGGCTTGTCATCCATTTAATATTTTTAAAAAATTTGGATCAAATGCTCATCCCCTCAAATTATCTTCTGACATGTATACAAGTCCTATTTTTTTATTAAGGATACACTTCTCTATTAAAAGATTATAAAGTCTCAGGATCAACAAGAAAACTCCACTATGAGCAATATAAGTCAAAATTTGTAGGTTTCTCATATTCCAAAGCTCTTAGATATTGATGGCATCATTTCATATAATATTTCCCCACCAACATGCACATCACCCATATTCCTTGACAAATGAAAAAATCAACCCCCTTTCAAAGACAATTGGATTATCAAAGAAGCCTAGACAAGCTTGCCCCTAAACTAGTAAAGGAATAAAGCCACTGCATCAAAATTTAAGTTCATCATAAATCTCCAAGCAAGTTTATGGTCCACTCCTCTTGACTCCAAAATTAATGGAGAATAATTACAAAGCTTAAATTTATGACCTTCAAAGGGAAGGTTGGCCACACCAAACAAAAAAGCAAAGATCCTTAAAGATTCCTTGTTTTCAAGGCCAAATCATTTTCCTTATTTGGCTTGGCCTATTTTATCTTTTGATGGAAGCTTTTAAATTGCAATCTTTTACTTATTTTATTTCTCTTTGTATGAGGACAAATCATTGTTTAAAATTGCGCAATATGAGGCTCGCCTTGAGGTCCGCCTTTGCGCAATTCCAATGAAAAACGCCTCGAGGCTTACGCCTCGATTTCTTTTATGAGGCTTACGCCTCAGCTTGGTTGAGGCCCGCCTTGAGGCGCGCCTCGCCTCACTGGCATGAGGCTTACGCCTCACCCTATATATATAAAACTTACATAAATCTGAAAGTAAAGCCCCGAACAAATCACACTTTGTGCACCCCCGAGTCGCAACAACTTTCTCTCAACTGTCTTAAACTCTAGCCCATCGTATTTTCCATAGCCACCACCGTCATAGCCATCATCAATGATCACTTGAAAGCCGCACACTACCACCTCTAAAAATTTTGAAGTATTAATCTCATCTTTATGTTGATGAAAAACATTTATAAAAGAGAAAGATGCTTGAAATAAATGAAGAAGCATATTGGGAGGCATTGGATTACACAGGATGTGATAGCGAAAAGACCAATTTATTATAATGACGACTCAAATAAAGATCCTCTCAATGATGACAATATAAATAATTTTCTAGTTGTTGCCAACTATTTCAGTTTTTTTTAGAAATTAAATTTAGATGAGTAGGGAACTGAGAAAAAAAGAATTTGGAGTTGAATTTAATGTTATATGATATTTTTATGCAATTTCTATATTTAATAATTTTTTGCTTATGTATTATTTGTATTTCAATTATATTCCATACAATTTATCACTAGCCACTTTACATTTTGTGCAAATTTTTATTTCATATTCATGTCATTGTGTTACTTCATAGTTCAATAGAAAGATAATATGTCGTCTTTTAACATATTATTTGTGTATTATATTAAAAAAAATACTTTTAAAATTTATTTGCACTTAACATAATTTTTTACTTTGAGACTCACGCCTCAAAACGCCTTGAGGCTTACGCCTCGCCTCACGAACAAAAAACGCCTCAATACCTATTTGCGCAATTTTAAACATTGGGACAAATAACATATCCATAGAATAGTAATACATTGACACTTAAGACTTTTTAAACATGAATAGGTCAGCTATAGGCTTGAAAAAATCCTATTAATAAGCCCATACATTGTATTTTGGAGATCAACAAACAACAACAACAACAACATCAAGCCTTTATCCCACTACGTGGGGTCGGCTACATGAATCCTTTTTCTCCATTGTGTCCTATTAAAAGTCAAATTCTCATTTAAATCTAATAAAGATTTTGGAGATCATTAAATAAAATTATCTTTGTTTATAAACATTACATGTGAAAAGGTTTACAGGCTACTATATGCATCAGTGAAGCTTGGTGATTGTTCACTTAGGGCTTTGGTGAGTCCATAGTTACCACATCTCTCTTTTACTCCTCTCTCCCAACACAATTCTAACCTCTCTTATATGTTCTCCCATAACCCTTACAACTTCCCAAAGCCTTAACTCCCCATTTACATCAAGATAGCCAAGCCAAAACCCCAACACAAGGAGATAAATTCCTATTGTAAGTTTGTAACAAAAAAAAAAAAAAACAACTCCCACCACATATCCAACTCCTATTAACAACTCCACTAGTTCCCTAACATTTTAAATAGTTTATATAAAATTCCTCACCCTTTCCCCTTAAAAAAATTACCCTTTCAAACCCTAAAATTTTTAACCCAAAATTTGTCCAAATGTCCTAAATAACCTTTTTTCCCATTTCAATTGCAAAAAACCTCTATGGTCTTCACGAATAGACAACAAATCCAATTAAGTAATTATAAATATGCAGATACTATCAATTGTAAACACTCCTATAAAAAATTTAATGAAGATTATCATATCTTAATCTATATTCACCCTAAGCATTTTCCCACCAAATATAGTAAGTTATATGCTCGAGCTTGTGGTTCATTCAAAATTTTTAGAAAACTTGGATCAAATGCTTATGTACTCAAATTATCTTCCAACATTTATATAAGTTATGTTTTTAATATTAAGGATATACTTTCCTATTAAAGGATTATAAAGTCTCAGGATCAGCAAGATAACCCCATTATGAAAAATAAAAGTCAAAATTTGTAGTTTCATCATATTCCAAAGTTCTTGGGTATTGACGGCATCATTTCATATGATCTTTCCCTACCAGCATGCACATCACTCATATTCCTTGTCAAATGAAAAATCAACCCCTTCCAAAGACACTTGGATTATTAAAGAGACCGAGACAAGCTTTCCCCTAATCTAGGGAATGAATAAGGGCCCTACATCAAAATTTAGGTTCATCATAATGCATAAATCTCCAAGCATGTTCATGGTCGAACCCCCTTAACTCCAAAATTAATGGAGAATATTTAAAAATCTTAAATTTTTGTCCTTCAATGGGAAGGGACCAAACAAGAAAGTAGAGATCCTTAAAGATTAAATGCATTTAAGACCACTTTATTTCTCTTGTTTGGCTTGGCCTAGTTTTTCTTTTGATGGAAGATTTTAAATAGCAATCTTTACTTATTTTCTCTCTTTGTATTAGGACAAATCATATTCCCATGTAATGATGTAATAGTAATATATTGACTCCTTAAGGCTTTTCAAGCATGAATAGGACAGCTATAGGCTTGGAAAAAAACCTGTAAATAAGCCCATATTTTATACTTTGGAGATCATTAAATAGAATTATCTTTGCTTATAAAAATTACATGTACGACCACTCTACTCATTGGTAAAGTTTGGTGGTTGATCATCTAGGGCTTTGGTGAGTCCATAGTTATCCCTTATCTCTTTTATTCCTCTCTCCCAACACAATTCTTTCTTCTTCAAGTAAGCTCAACCAACTAGAACCAAGCATTTCTGAACCCCTAAGACACCAAACCTCACTAGTCTCTTATATATTCTCCCATAACCCTAGCAACTTCCCAAGGCCTTAACTCCATTTACATCAAGGCAGCCAAGCCAAAACCCCAAACACAAGAAGACAAATTCACGTTGTAATAAAATTAAAAAATACAACTCCCAAATCACAAATCCAAAGCTCCTAGAAACACCTCCACTAGTTCCCTAACATCTTAAATATTTGATATAAAACTCCTCACCCATTCTCTTTAAAAAAAATCTACCGTTTCAAAGCCTAAAAGTTTCAAGCCTAAATTTGTTCAAATGTCTAATATAGACCCTCCTCTAAATCAGCAATCAATTTATTGGATTCACCATCTAAATCATATAGACCCTACATCAAGATGTACTCAATAACTTCTAATTATCAAAAGCATTCCTTAAGCTACACCCAATGACAGACATGGTCATTAATTGGCTACATCCAACAACAACCATGTGATGTGGTAAAAAATAGTTTTTAGGATTTAGGTTTTAGGGTTTAGGGAAGGAAAAAGCCTTTTCTATAACAAAAAGATTACCCTATAATCCTACAAACATGGCACCACATAATGAAATAAGTTATGTCATGTTCTTGTAACTAAACACCCTCTACAAGGATCAAAAGCCTAGATTCAAAATGATTCTCTTCTCATTCCTCCTCTTCACTCTCTGAATAATGGGACTCAGTTTGATAGACAATTCTATTCGACCTAGATTCCAACAATAAGCTTTGCAAATGCAAAGGAATTTTAAAGTTCTCCCAACCAATTGATCTTAAATAGTTTCCTAAGCCATACTTCCATTAAGTAAATGAAACTGCACCTCAGAAAATTGTAAACACTGAGTTTTGAGGACAAAACAACAACATTTTTAGTAACCGTGCGTCACGATCTTTTATTTCGGAGAATCGTAGCTATCAACCACTCCCAATATATCTGCAATCCATCTACAAGGCAGCAACTTAAAAAGGAAAAAGCTCATCCAGCTTAATCCCAAAAGAGGCGCAATCATACGAACCCTATCCGCCCCAAATCAGAAAACCAAGACGCAAAGACAAAATATTGCCAGAAAACAAAAAAAATTCTGGAAATGGACAGATGGCTTGCGAAGAGGGAAGCTTCAAACTTTGGAGAAGTAAGGGGTTTACCCATGAGAGAGCAGAGCTTCCAAATGGACTGGGAAGAGGGGGAGACGGACGAGGGGGTGAAGGTCTTCTTGCAGAGCTCATACAGGGTTTGCATAGTGGATCCCTTCGCCATGGCCGCTTGTTTTCAGAGCCCCTGTTGAGCTAACGGTGTGAGGCGCCCAACCGATCGTTTATAAGCTTCATGAATGTTGAGGCTTGTATGAGATGTTTTGATATGAAAACTCTGTTTTGAGAGAAGGAAAGAAGTATTAATTTACATGCGTACCATTTCATACCATCTTATTTATAAATTTAACATTCAAAATATTAATATTATATACATACCACCTTATATTATTTTAATATCAAATATGTCACTCATATTTCCTTCCTATCACTCATTATTTCATTTCTACCACTCATATTTGATATGAAAATGAACTATGGGTGGATTGATGCTTCACAAATCACCAAGGCCAACAAGGTTTACTCTAATCTCAAAACTCAAGGATTAAACTCCACTAAACAACTTCATAAGTTTCATATCTAACAGGGCTATTTTTTTAGAAGATCTTGTCTACTTGTTCGCCAAGTAGAAATTCTCATTATAATTTGTTGAGAGTTCTTAATATCCAGCTCACCAAACGTACTCTCCATCTTTGTGGAACTCACACAAAGTTTTCATCTAGTGCACAACCAGCAATCATACTTGTTATAAAATGGGCTACACTATAATCAATAATGTATTTTCTTCTCATTTTTTACAACTCATAATATGCCACATACTTCAGCCCTTGACTATAAATAAATCTCACTAATCTAGTGCAAGCACGACATATCATATAAACTCATCTATAATTTTTTGTCAAATCTTTATCCTAAAGATTTACCAAACCTTCTTATTAAAAATATTATAATTCATAATCCAACAAAGAGATTATCTAATATGTAATTTTTTTATTATTTTGTTTCTCTAATGTTTTTAATCACAACCCATTTATAACATTAGATCAAAATTTTTAAAGATGTAGTGAATGTGGATAATGCCAAATGCCAAAGAACCATGTCATGGATAAACTTACAAAGCATTTCTTATTGGACAACCATAGTAATAATGATTTTCCCTATTGAGTAGCTTTAAAGGATGGTGGATCATCGTAATTAGATGATCCAAAGAAACTTCAAGATTCCCTCGATCTGTCCTTATTGCATATTCTCCTTGAGAGTGTGAATGCATCACCACCAAGAATCTCCTCAAGCTATTGAACTATCTGTCTCCCGCAATGAGCTATGATATACCAAGCAAAGAAACTCTTGTCGCTCAACTATCTAACAAAAAGTTCCATTCAACAAATGCCTCCTCAGTCAATATTGTTGAAGACTCACCTCCCAATAAAGTCAGGATGCATGTGATATACTCCAACAAGAGTAACTTAAACCCGACTAATCATGTTATATCTTTCGAGTGCACCATAATCTACTCTTCAAAACATAATAAAATTTTTACCATGGATCTATTCTAAGACTAGCTTCATGGACAAAACAAAATACTTTCATGAAATTTTATTGAATATTTTAATTTAAAAAATTAATTAACCTGAATTTTAGAACAAAATATAGCATGGGCTATTTATAAAATTTTGGAACGCCTTAAGCATATTTATATGGTCAATTCAAGTTCTTTGGTGCATTTGGTTTAATTTAATTTTTACTTCCATGCTTACTTAGAATTTTCCATAGTGAAAATTGGGGTTTTTCAAACTAATTTTAATGCCTTTTGAGTTCATATGATCTGGTATTTTTTATAATAGATTAACGGTAAGATATTCAACATCCCAATATTTTTTAAAATTATTGATGACATTTAACATTGTCATTGTCATGTCCCAAGTTTTGGATGAGATCAAAGTGGCGGGTTGTGTTATGCAGGCAACAACTAGCGTAAAACTTGTCTAATAATTTTGACATGAATCATTTAATACATTTATGTTAATGCTAGGGCATTCCTTAAAAGTGATGCACTGTATGGAGTAAATACAATAAGTGTGCAAGGGCCATTGCACCGGAGCTCGAGTACAGTGTTAAATAGACAAGGGTTCCCACATCATGAAAGAATGTGCAAAGAATCTAGTCTATAAAATTAAAATTAGGATAATAACTTAGAATATAGGCATCCTTACATAAAAAATAATGAAATTAATAGATATTATAATTCATAGGAAAATAAATTCAGTTATGCATTTACGAAACTAAATAGGTTGGAGAGAACGCTAAGAAGATGGATAGTTTAGAATTTACCCTAAAATTAAAATTTTAGAATGACTTAGAATAATTAATACATAGATACCTCTTGAAGAAAAAAAAAATAGAGGAGATTTAAATGGACATATTGGTAGAGAGGCATAGGCGGAACCACATGTAATTTAGGGGGAGCAATTGCGCCCCCCC